TAATGGGTAAAATCGTCCACACAGTTACACTAAATATGGAAAATAGGATCAGCAAAAAATAAACTTCCCCACTGATAGGACTTATCCGAACAAAAGAATAAAGTTGGGACTAATTGGTTTAATAGTTTGTGAAATGGGATTTATTGGTAAATTTTCCATATTTATATCCCAATCTTATTCTTTTTTTTATTTAAATATTTTGTTATCTTTTATTTGAATTTTCATTAAATAGTTATATTTTTATTTTTGTATATTTTTTCATCTATATTTATTTGTTATTCATATATACATAATTACCTTTTTATTTTAAAAATAATTTGACTCGTAATATTTTTTTATTTAATTTTTTTTAATTGTTCATATATAAATAGTTAACTTTTTTATTTTTATAATTAATTGACTCGTAATATTTTTTATTTATTTATTTATTTTTATCTTTTATTTGACTCTTTATATTATTTTGTAGTTGAAATTTGAATAGTTATCTTTTTATTTTATTTATTTTATATTTTTATCTCTACCTCTTTGTTGCTCATATTTAAATATTTATCATTTTATTTAAATATATATAATCCTTTTGGCTTTTGAGATTTAGATAATTGAAAAATGATTAAAAATTAAGAAAAGTGGGAGGGGAGACTTGAAAAGTGACAGAGAGAGAATCCATAAGAATTTAGTATTAAGAGTTTGGAGAATTCTCATACTCCACTACATTTATTTATATATATAGTATAGACACTAACTAATTTATAGTGAAGACAACCCTAGTCCTTATCCTATCTCCTCTTCTTTTTTTTTTATGATTTTCCCATTAGTATATTTGTTTGACATTATTAGACCATCTCCAACGGTGAATCAAAGTTGATATCAGATTCAAATTTTGATGAAAAAGGCACTTTTTTATGCTCCAACCGTTGCACCAGATTGATATCAAAATGAGATTTCAGCAAAAAAAGTGCCTTTTTGAGAACGAGACATAGATTTTACCAAATCACTGTTACTGACCGTTGAAAGAGGTACACCGGTCAACCAGCCGGTTGACCAACCGGTTCAGGAAAAAAAGTTCAAACCGTTAAAATAAAATAAAATAAAATAAATTTTGCCTAACCGGTCAACCAGTCGATCGACCACCCGGTCGTCCCGGAAAAAGTTCAGAAAGTTCAAAAAAAAGTTCAGACAATTCGCGAAAAAAAAAAATAAATAAATAAAAATTTTGCCTAACCGGTCGACCACCCAGTTGTCCCGGGATAGATTTGGTGAAAGGTGAACCGTTGGAGCGAGTGGTATCAAATTTGGTGAAATGGGTCATTTTTTACTCAGATTTAGTGAAAAATTTGAGTCACCGTTAGAGATGCTCTTATTAAGGGTATTTATTTAGATAAACTGGATAAGAAATTATTATAATGTGATAGGCTATTAGTCATGAGATTAATAGCTCTTAAATTATCTGGTCATAAATGATATGTATTTGACTATGATTTGAATTTTAATTTTTTTAACAAAATGTTAAACTAAAAAATTTGTTAGAGTTAGAATCCAATCTCATGAAACAAACGTCTCCTTAGTAATTTCATTTTTACATATTATCTCATACACATGTTTAATTTTTGGATAGAAAATACAATTAAATCAAATAATTTTATTAAAAAATTAATTTCAAAACAATAAAGATATTTGCAAAAGAAAAAAAAATTATCATAATTTCTCAAATATTAATGTTTAAAAACATTGATAGAGTACGATAATTTTTTTCTAATACATGCATCTTTTCTGTTTTGAAATTAATTTTTGAATAAAATTGTTAAGTAAATTAGAATAATATTATACTAGCGTATACTCGTGCCTGAAGGCACGGTGTAAATAATGTTAGGATTAGAATATAATTGTAATCCCAACACTATTTAAATTTATTTTTTGATTTGATAAAATTACAGATTTATTATAAAATTTTGGAGTTCTCATGAAAACTCCTCACGAAAATTCATTTTTGCTTATATAATATATAGCTAGATAGATAGATATGCTTGGCATACATACAATTTCCATGGGCATACATATAATATTGGTTTTGCTTATATAATTATATGAAAATTGTACGTATGCCCATAATGTCCTAGTGTATTACGGGCATACATACATTCTATGGAAATATGTGCAAAATATATTGAACAAAAATGAGAAAATAAAAAAATAAACAAATAGAGAGAAAAATAAAAATGGGAGAAAATAAAAAAAAAATAAAGAGAAAAGAGAGAGCAAGGTAGGATCATGGGAATGATGGGTGAGAAAAGAAAAAAAGTAAGAGAGAGAGAAGCGGGAAAATAGAAAATGCATATGTAGGATATTTTTTGAAAAATTCGCATCCGTTGTTTTATAATTTGAATAGATCTGAGCCGTCCAAATGTCCTAGTAGGATAAATGTGGGCAGGACAAATTCAAAAACCATCCTGCTTTATTATATAGATATATCAATTAATGTACACACTAATATACTAATAGATGATGTGTTATAATTTTAGAGATTTTGGATATTTATAATTTGTACAATAGATGGGGCCAATAATAATGACAAAACACTAATTGGTACATTAGTATGTACATTAATTGGTGCATGTAGCACCACCGAGTAAATTGTGACAGTTGTTCATGTACTTCGGTCATTGTGTTATTTTGATCATTGTAATTTTAATTCGGTGGTGTTGCATGTATCAATTAGTGTACACACTAGTGTAATGATATTATTATTGACCACATTTGTTATACAAGTTCCAAATATTCAAAACCATACAAATGATGTTACATCATCTGTTAGTACACTAGTATGTATATTAATTGATACATATAGCATTATTCATTTTAATTAACTCAATTTTAACCTTAAATTTATGACTTTGTTTCAATTGATCAAATTGATTATAATTCTCAACATTTTTTTATAAAAAATATATATATAAGTGGCATGTATTAAATTTTTAAGAGTAAAATTATAAAGTTATTCAACTTAGTGAGTAAACTTTAACAAATTCAATTATTATATTATGTCGAAACATTAATAATATTATCAATTAAACTAAATTGACATAACATTTAAAACTGAAGGTCAAATTAAGCAAATAAAAAATATAAGAATCAAAATAATATAAGAAACAAAATGTAAGAATCACCTATATAATTTATCCAAAATTATTTAATTCTATTGTATTTTTATTATAAAAGAAATAATATTTGTTTTATTTTTTAATTTTAAAAAATATACCGAAATTATTTAATTCTATTGTATTTTTATTACAAAAGAAATAATATTTGTTTTATTTTTTAATTTTAAAAAATATACTATAGAAGGTGAATAATAGCATCCAAAAATTTAGATTGGAGCCAAGTAGCAGAACCTGTTACCTTTTCCTCGATCTAAGCGTACTCCATCGTTTGGGAACAGGTTAATTTAGTAATTTTTTGGCTATTTGGCTAAAAAAGTAGGTAAAAAAAACTTGTATATTTGGGATGACTTTTTGGCTAATTACGAAAAAATGTGCAAAAAGTAGAGAGAAAAGAGAATCTTTGACTTTTTGGTATGGGTTGTTGGCTTTTTGACTAATTTAATAACTTTTTGACTAATTGACTAAAATAACCTCTTGCCAAACGAGGCCTCAATCCCTCTCCGTCTAATATCATCTTGATCAAATTTATTATTAAATTAAAATTTAATAAAAAAAGTTATTTTTGTTATTCAGACGATTCATTAAATTCATCATTAGATTCAAAATTTTATTTTTTTAAATTATTTTTTTATCAAATCACTATTTATTAATTTTTGATTTCTAGCATTGAATATCTTTTTTTTTAATTATTTTTTATCAAACCACTATTTATTAGTGATTGATTTTTACTATATTAATTTTTGATTTTTAGCATTGAATATCTTTTTTTTTTAATTATTTTTTATTAAACCACTATTTATTAGTGTTTGATTTTTACTACAGAATATCTTTTGGTTTAATCATTTTTCTATCAAATGAATATCTTTATATAACCACCAAAAATAAAATTTTTTTAAAAAATTATGCTAATCAATCAACCAGCCGATCGTCTATCTAATTGATCGATAATTTGATAAAATCACAACAGAAATATTAAAAACATTAAAAGTTTTATCAAAATTTTTATAGACTCACTATAAAACTTTTAGATCAAGTTTGACAATTTAAAAATAATTCATCTTTTTATCTATTTTTTTATCACATCACATTTTTATTATTTTACATAACTTTTTTATAAAATAATAAAAAATATATTTATTTAAATCATTCCAAACATTCCTTTACTATGACTTTTGGCCTCTAACTTTAGTCAAACTACAAACACTCCGTTAAAATTTTTCCTCAAATTTAACGAAAAATTTGATACCTATAAAACCCCGATATCGTTAACTCCGAGGTTCACTCTCTCCCTCTCTCTCTCTCTGTCTCACTCTCAGATTCTCAGAGCCTTCGACGCCATGGCTTCTTCAATGGTGAAACCAGGTGCCCTCACTCCCCTCTACTCTGGTCTCAATGACTTCCCTCTCATCCGTTCGAGTTCAATCCCTACTACTCCCAAATTCGGAGACTCTCAACTTTCTGTGTTCAACAACACTCTGAAGCGCCCCAAAAATGCGCCTGTGCTTCCTGTAATCAGAGCCCAGAGCTCTCCTGGTATGTTTTAGCGCTCCCAATTTGTTAGTGGGTTTTCAGTTTCCCTTAATCCTTTATATGATTTTGTGTTTTGTTTACTGTAGATTATGTCCCTGATGCGAAATTCTACAAAGTGGAGGCGATTTTGAGGTGCAGGATATATGTTTTTCTTCTTCTTCTTCTTGTATTTATGTGATTATTGAATTCCTTGATGTTAGTTTTTGTGTGGATTGTGTATTGTCTTTATTTCCCTTCCAAAAACTTATGTTTATATTAAAATTTGACTCATTGAGATTTTGGCATTTCTAATTCTTGTTGTTGCTTCTGTTCTGCCGGTGAATTGCCGAAAAAGTAGGCCCTGGCGAATCCCGAAGGTTGCATCGGTAAGAGCTTCTGAATCATGCCTGTTATGCTGTTCAATTCATGCTATTATCACTTCACATTGTTGGTTTACGAATTCTACGGGGCATTCAATTTATTGTTTAGCAAAATTGAAAGAAATAATATGTAGGTGATACTCCATTTTTAATACCAAGCTGATAACCTCTTTATTTAAAAATTAAATAGCAAGTTAAAGCAGCCGTCTCTCAACGTGGACTTTAGCACAAAACTAACATTTTGCTTGGGATGTAAATCCATTAAAAAAAGTAAAGAAAAGAGGCACCTAACCTAATTATGTTAATTATAATAAAAAAATTCCACAAATTGCAATAAGTTACCAGCTTATCTTTAAATGCATTGCTATTTTCAAAATTGGAAGCATAGTTGTATGAAGCTCCTATTTGGGGTATGTTTTTGCTCTAGAACCACAAGAATGTGGTTCGGAGTAAGAATCTTGTTAGAATTGAGTTTCCGTCAAGATAGAATTGCGATTTCAGTTGGGATGGGACCACTTAAACATATTGAAGAGGGTCAGATACCGAACGGCATCACGGACCGAGCACCCATGGAAAATAGATCATGAACAAGCCATAGGTCAAGCCAATCGTTGGCCATGCAACTAAAGGTCAGGCCGTTCAAAATGAGCCAAGAGCGCACCCAATAGACCGAATGGCGTCACACCGTCAAATACACACGTGATGTGCCCTTGAGGATGGACAATGCACTCATTGGGCCAAATGGCCGGCTAGATAGCCAATCGGCCCAGATGGGGCCTCTTGATCAGCACTTGGCCACACCATCATGGGCTGGTGATGATACGGGCTAGATGTGACCACGTCACAAGAAGGGTCCATGTCACCTATTGCTCGAAAATTCAGCTAGAGGAAAGTTAGGAAATTGCAAAGAATTCGCCCTGCAACAAATCGTTCTCGCCAAAAGCTAGCTTAGAAGACGTTTCCTCCAGAGAGGTCGGGCATGGCGGGGACTCATGCCAGAATCACAGGCGAGGAGCAAAGCCACTCCAGAAAAGGTACGTTACAAGTCCATTCAAGGACTCAACCTCTAGCATACTCTACTTCCTTGACATTCTTTCACTCTCTTTGACATTTTCCTAACTTAAGCATCAGAGAAGCTTTTCAAGCCACATCCCAACATGGCAATACGTGGTGTTCATTGTCTTGCAGGAAACCATTCTTGGATCGCCCGGATTGGATACAGAGCTCATCATTCTTTGTTGACACACTATGGCATAGGTGTGGGACCTGAGTCGAATATGACACTCTTATCTTGGACACAACTAACTCGAGAAAGAAGTGTGTCATAGGAGTGAAGAAAAATATGTTGTTACAGGAAATCACTAGGGGAGAAGCGTTAACCCAATCGCGAATTAAAATCACATACAAAGGCAAATGAAAAAGTACTTACAATACAAGTCACTGATGGTGAGGTTTTTCAACCATCTCTTCATGGATTACTCTCCTGCAATCCTCGGCCTCTCGCCATCAATCCATATGGGAGACCTAGACTCCTTGCAATTGATGACAAACTAGGGTTGGAAAGCAAAGATACCTTGGAATAGGAAAAGCCCTAGATGAGAGCCCTTGGAAAGTGGGGATGTTTTGGAAATGTATACTACATGGATTTAATTGCGGGTGGTGTGTACAAGAAGATACGCTTGACTTTCATTATGACATGCAATCTAATTACTTTAAATTTGGCTTTGAAATATTTAATCAATTGTTAGGACTTTCCTAAATCAAGTAATTCTATTCGCACACTACAAAAATTATCAGTTCACACCATTTTGTCATTTAGATGTCAACTTTCGAACAAACATCAATTGTTCAGATACAACTCATGAACAAAAACTCGTTTCGGTAATTGATATATGAACAATTAATTTTTGTTTGGAAGTTGATATTGGAACAAAAAAAATAGTGTGAACTTAGACAAAGTGTGTAAAAGCGTGGTCTACACATAGAAGCTCCCTCCTAAATATTAAATTTTAGCACAAAGGTTTCGTTATTATATGTACCATAACCAGCAAATCATTGATATTTTCAATAAAATCATTTACGGAAAGGAAAAAAATGAATTAACTCAAACTTAAGGTTTTGTACATTATCTTTTTAGTATTCATTCATCTCCTCCTCCCCTAATTCAACAATACATAGAATATTTATTTTTGATATTTGTATTAATATGGTGCGTCGCTTTAACCGTATCCAAAATTTGGACACTTTTTAGTTGTGTCCCCGTATCCAATAATTAGAAAAATATGTGAATCCGACTTCTACCCATACCCGAGTCCGGGTAACTTAGATTCTTGTATCCTTATAACATGAAGTAGTGAGCCCTTGTTGTACTCGTATGGGTACAATTTGGACCATGAAGCCTTCCCTAAGGCAAGCGTACACATGATCACTGACTTCTTGTAAGGACAATTTCTAATGCTTTTATCACATCAATATATCCTTTGATCTCACACCTTTTTCTCCAACACCTACCATATTATATATTAAAAATACTGTATTATTGATTGATATTGATGTATTGTTTATATTACAATTACAAGGATTCCTATTATATAGGAGTGTGTTTGGGAGTAGGTGGAGAGGTGGAGTAGGTGAAGTGGAGGTGGTAGTGGTGTAGTGGGTTAGGTTTAGTGGAGAGGTGGAGTAGGTGAAGTGGAGGTGGTAGTGGTGTAGTGGGTTAGGTTTAGTGGAGAGGTGGAGTAGGTGAAGTGGAGGTGGTAGTGGTGTAGTGGGTTAGGTTTAGTGGAGAGGTGGAGTAGGTGAAGTGGAGGTGGTAGTGGTGTAGTGGGTTAGGTTTAGTGGAGAGGTGGAGTAGGTGAAGTGGAGGTGGTAGTGGTGTAGTGGGTTAGGTTTAGTGGAGTAGGTGAGGTGGTAGTGGTGGTAGGTGAAGTGAAAATTTTAACAAAATTCCTCCTGCTTGGGAAATTAATTCCGGTTGAATTGAGAAATCAGTAATTACATTCTCATTCCAATTTCATCCAAATAGTGAAATCATGGGGATTCGAAATCACATTCCCATTTCCCCTGAAAAATTCCCATCATCCAAACTTAGCCTCAGGGAATTTTGTTAACCTTGAGACATAGCCTTCCGTAACTCTATTATGTATTAAATTCTACATTGGTTTCAAGTGACGGAGGAAATATTAGGTGCCAAACGTTTTTATTCTGTTTACACTATACAAACAACTAGGCATAGAAAATTATAAATAAGGAAAGTATCATCAATAGATGTGTTCATGGACATCTTTATATAGCAATACTTGTTCAACCACACTGTAATAATATAAACGATAGCCTCAGGATATTTAATCCTTGATTTACTTGGAAAACTAAATTTTCATTCTTTGAAGACTTCAAATCTATTAAGTCACCAATTGTCCCATAAGCTTAAGCTGTTTGGAAATGAGTGCAATAGTGTATATCAAGCTATCTAACACCCTCCTCATGTGCAACACCGTTTTGCACGTGGAGATGTAAACATTCATACATACAGACAAGGGAGCATGCGAACGGGAGAGACTTAATGCAAACAGGGACAAAATGCAAACTGATAGACTTGAACCCAAGACCTCCCCAACTTGAGCTCTGAAACCATATCAAGTCCCCAATTGCCCCATATGCTTAAACTGTTAAGAAATGGGTCCAACAATGTGTCTCAAGCTATCTAACAAAATCTACATAAGAAACAAAGTTTTGTGCTCGTTAAAGAAAAAGGTGAAGAAAAAAAAAACATGAGATATAGCTCATATGATGAATATATCTTATTTCAAACTCAAAAAATCATCAAAATTTGAGATTTAATCTTGTATTCTATGTCCAAATTTGTTAGTTTAACTGAGTAATGAGCATTAGATTTAAAGGCTAAAGCTCACAGTGTTGGCTGATAAGGGACAGACTATAGTACTGAGTCAAAAGAGGCAGTGGTTTTCCTAGGCCTTTTTCTGTTCTTATGATTCCAGTGTCTCTGTTGCCGTTGCAATTCATGATACTGCAACCAAGGGATTTTAGCATTTTCATGATATGAGGCCATGTCTTTGTCTTGTGTATTGCATTTGTTGTCAAGTCTCGGGACAATCTCTTTGTGCACTATGCCAAAAGTTAGGTGTGTACCCAATTTTTTCCCTCCCAAATACACATTAATGTGTACTAATTGGGCGTCGTTTTTTTTATTTTTTATTTTTTTTATTCAGCCTCCCAACAATGTTTGTATATCAAAATGATTAAATAATTCCTTAATCTTTATGCTAAAAATGAACTTATTTAAATCTTCTCAAAATTTTGAACATTGCGTCAGAATATATTAGAAACAGATCAACAAGTTACGGAAATGTTTGTCGTATTTCATTTTTACTCGTGAGAAGTCGACAATAAAGTTTATGAACTTGACCAAAACGTACACATCATTGTTCAGTGTCTTTTGTCATTTGGCCACGTTTTCTTCATTAACTATTGAGATCTCTTGATTTTACTATTTATCACATCTGGCACACAAGAAAAGGGAAGACAAAACAAAACAGTTAGGACAGAAACTTTGTTTTAATACCAGTAACACGTTTCAGTTCTAACTTGTCATATCATTTATAAAATATGCAGGCTCTTCTGAAAATGGGTATTCGTGGTGTTACGGTATCTGATGTCCGAGGTTTTGGTGCTCAAGGTGGTTTGACGGAAAGGCATGCAGGTAAGAGCTTGTCTTGTTGGGGTGTTGAAATCAAAGTTGTACAGTTTGGTTAACATGAGTTTCTTGGTTTTCTTGGTTTTATCTTTGTCTGGCACAGGCTCTGAATTTTCTGAAGACAAGTTTGTTACTAAAGTTAAGATGGAGATTGTGGTGAGCAAAGACCAGGTATAAAAAAATATGAAGGCTAAGAGGTCTTTCACAAGTTGTTTTGTGACTATAAACTGAAGCATCATTTTATTTTATTTTTCCTTTATAAGAATTTTCCTTTTATTTTCACCCAACAAATTGTTGATTGGTGAAAATACAGTCTTACTTCGCATATCACTCATTCAAACTATCACTTTATATTGTTTCAGGTGGAATCTGTAATAGACAAGATCCTTCGAGAAGGAAGAACAGGAGAAATTGGCGATGGCAAAATTTTCCGTAAGATTTCAGACCTTTTCCTTTCCTTTTTCTTTTAAAAATTTTTAATTGCTAAATTTCAGAATCTTTTGATTTCTTATTTCACTGATCTTTAGACTGCAATTGATTTACTTTTAACCAAAGGATTGCATACTTTTTTATTTTATTTTATTACAACATATACATGATCATGAATGTGTATTTCAACTACAAGGAACTGTAGAAACTCGAAGCACAAAAAAATGGAGGAACAAGTCGCAACTTATGATCAAATTAGCATTTTTTAAGGAAATTTCTTTTATTCTGGCAAAAGTGCTTTGATGTTTTTCTGAGAAGTTCTGCATTTATCATTGGGGTTTGTCAATATACAGATCAAATTCTGGCCATAAATAACAACTTAATAATAAGAAGAAATTAAAAGTAAAACAAGGAAAAGAAAGAAAATGGAATTGGAGGATATGATCATAATACATGAAATCCTAGTGAGAGAATTGATGCTAATAGCACATGTGGTTATTTCTGTCCAATTAAGAAGATTAAATTTGATGTCTTCTTGGGGAGCAAAGAGAAGGGATGTAGTATTATCCTTGGGTACAAAGGCGTAAGGTTTGAGGCAAAAGTGAAATATATTTTGGTTGTCTACTTGTGAACACAATCTTGTGACTTTTCCTTTTCAACATTTTTGCTGCATTTAACCAAAAAAAACTGTAGATGTACTAATTTAAAAAATAACAGAAATAAATGAAGTGAGTAATTGAATGTTGAAAATGTTATCTATGATAACCTGGATGGCAGTGGCCATCTATTGAGAATAGCACCCAGCTACTTGTAATCGGATCGTCACCATCATGATACAAGGACAATATGTGTAATTCATACCCCTTATTCTGTAATCAGGAGTATTTTTTTAAAAATTTATTTATGAAGCTTGTATTCAGGAAACCATGCAAAATATTGAATGGATTGATGATTAAATTTGTAATGAGGTTCCACATTTTTGTGCAGTGGTGCCCGTGACAGATGTAATAAGGGTTCGCACTGGTTAGTTTTTGCCCGTCTTTTTTTTCACTCTTGAATGAGCATCATTTTTAAAAGTCACACATGGTTATAGGAATGTCTTTTATAACTCCTGAGTTATCGTCGACACGCAATTTTCAGGTGAGCGGGGAGAAAAGGCTGAGAGGATGATGGGAGGGCGAGCTGACATGATTAACTTTTGATCATCAAGTCAAGCATTACCACCCCTTCTCTTTGGTGCCTTCTAGAAATTAGGAGACTTCTAGTTTCTATGTGCAATATCTCTATTGAGTTTGGAAAATAAAAGCAAGGAGACTAATCATGTAGTTTCACTATTTGTTATATAAACAAAATCTAATAGTTGCCAAAGTTGCTCTCTTTAATAGATCAGTTACTGTTGTTTGCGCGCCTAATCGGCATGGAAATGGCTGGTTAAGAAGTTTTAGAAATTTATACCGATGCTGTTTGGCAGATGAGACAGACTTTTCAGTGTCTAAAAACTAAGCAATTCATTGAACTATCTTAGGCCAGGGTGTCTGCATCATTTGTTTCTGTTGCAGGTGCAGAGACTCATAAGCATTTGTCATGGGACTGAGGCAATGGCATTGCCAATCAATGAGCTTGTTTTTGTGCTGGTTTGTTGAATTGAGTTGACATTGCTTTGGACTGTTTCAATTTTGCAGTAAAAATGAGTCTCTTTTGATTTCATGCGCATTTATAAGCAACGCAATCATGCAAGGGCTTTCCTCCTATGGATATGTTTGAATATGAGACAAAACAGAAGTTGAAAACTGGATGTGCCAGTTATGTGAAAGAAAGAAAATTTTGAATGTAGAAGAAAATTTGGATTAAAATTTTAGGAAGTTATGTTAGGATAATTGCGATGTTAGAAAATGCCTCACATAGACGTTCAAACCAAGTAAGTCGTATGCTTTATATAATGGTCCTATTTAGCAGAGCTGTGAAAAAGTGATTATAGATTATAACTTAACAGATTATAATTTATAACTGTGAACATATATGTTAACTTGTTTAATGCAGCTATAGGATTATGAATTTAAGCAGCAGAGTAATGTTTGGTGATAAGTTGTAAAATAAATTTTTGCTGTATAATTGTCATTTTTGCCCTTATATGATAAAAAAATGATTATTTTGTCATTTTTTTCAGTTTTAATTTTTAAAAAGTTATTTCATTAATAAAAGTTAATATAATTAGTATTACAAAAATTATTATTTTCATTAATAGTATCAATTAGTATAAAACTATTTCATTTTTTTCATTATAAATTAATTAGTGCCAATTAATGGCTTAATTAGCATCAATTAATACTAAAATTGTTAATTAGTATAAATTAATATAAAATTTATTTTAGTTATTTCATTAATATAAAATTGTTAATTAGTATCAATTAATTAGTATCAACAAATTAATTAGTATCAATTAATGGCTTAATTAATATTGTGATTTTTAATTAATTATTATTAGTAGTATCAATAAATTTATTTCAGTTTTAATTAATTATTATTATTATTTTTTAATTAAAAAAACACTGAAAACCTCCACACATACAAAAAAAAAACACTGAATACATCACCGGAGACAAACCAACGCCAGAGAGAGAGAGCAACAGTGAAGAACCAACGCCGAACGACGACGGACGGTTGATCATCACGCAGTCGATCGTGACTCTAGGGTTTCAGATCGCGATCGCCACACAGTCGATGGTTAGGATTTCGATTGCGAAGCTAGGGTTTCGATCGCTAAGAGAGAGAGAGAGAGAGAAAAGAGATCTGGTCCGCGAAGCTAGGGTTTCGATCGCTAAAAGAGAGAGAGAGAAAGAGAAAAGAGATCTGGTTCGTGAGTGTGAGAGAGAGGGAGAGCACTGGTTCGTGAGAGAGAGAAGGGAGAGAGTCCTGGTTCGTTGACTGCCGGAAATCGCCTCTCTCTCTTTCTCAGAGAATGAACAGTGATGCTTGGTGCTTTATATAATGACAATTTAGTAATACTTCAAATTAGTAAAGGGCATTTAAATAATTTTGCCCCTCAATTTGTAGCTTCTCAGTTAAGCTGAATGAGTAAGCACCTCGAAGGCCACTCAACCAAAAAGCATTTTTTTGGCTTAATTTAAGCTACAAAAAGTGATTTTAAATTTTACCAAACACACTAAAACAACTTAAAATAATCTAAAAGCTAAGTTAAACAGCTTTTAAGTTCTACTAAACACCCCAATATAAAATGGATATAGCCATGGAAAATGGAGCTAGTAGGAAAGGAAATGATGTAAAGCAACTCTTGATGGTGTCATCCGTATGCCGAGCTCGTGATGAATTGATGATTTGATCAAAGAGCTCTAATCGACTTGCTTTTTGTTCACTTTAGTTATATTTAGGGATTTGGCTTCTCTCAGCATTTGAATTTTGTAGGCCCATTGTGAACTGAAACCGTTCACTTTTTAGCGCTCGTTGAGAAGAATTATCATGTAAAAAATCAAGATGATTGAACTTTGATAGCTATATATTTGAATCACATTCATCTTTAAAAAATGAACGATTATTCTTAAAATTATATTTGCTGTTTGTTTTTTTAAGATAAATGTGATTCAAATATATAATTATAAAAATTCAACCATCTTGATTTTTCATATGAATATTCTTCTTAACGAGTACTAAAATGTAAACGGTTTAAATCACGAATATTGGACTCACAATGGCCCACTAAGCTCAAATATTTTCTCAAGTTAAATTGTAACTATGAGAAAAACTAAACCCAACGCATATCAATATAAGATCTGGGGAAATAACATGTTAGCGTGGAAGCCCAAAAAATTACTTTAGATTGATGGAAAAGCTTGTCAGATTCTCTTTCAATGTTACAAACTTCATCATTAATTTGAATTTTTTTTAAAATTGGCACTAAAATGATATTTGCCCAATAAGATATGACCAAAGCATATTTAATTTAATTACCATAGCGTCGCAGAAATCATGTAACACGATTATCAATGGAGCCTGATATGAAGAGACTCAAGTTACATGAAACTGAAACTGTTGCAATACAAGAATTATTTGAATAATTTTAAAATGAATTATTTGCTTATGGTGAACCTGTTTTCTGCATGCATTTCCAAAATCACATAAAAAACAGAATTTCTGATAAAACATTAATAAAGGCATCTCTAGCTTCAGAATCGTCATGCATGGAGAATGCAAAGGAAACAAGACAAAAATAAATAAATAACAAAAATATATGAATTATTCTGAAACTATAGGAAACAAATGGCGGCAATGTCTGCAACAGAAACCCCAAACGGTGAAGTAGATGATATAACAAATTAACAAGATTGAAAATCCAAACATCAAAAGAAATGTTAAAACTCAATTCAGCACCAATACGAGAAACCATACTCAGCATCCAGATGTCTATGCCTGCAAATGCAAAATTACACAAACAATGAGGAGAAGATCAACAAAGTTGACAATGATGTGATGTGAATCACGTGGGTGATGAATTGAGTTCAACCTTATTTGCAATGTTGTTTGAGAGCCAGTCCAGTCCTTCGTACAGACCTTCCCCAGAAGTGGCACAGGTGCTCTGGATGTACCTGCAGCATCCATACACAGTCAAATTCACGCTCTGTTTGGTTTAAAAAAAAAGGGAGAGAGAGAGAGAGAGGCACTTTTTGGCTACTTAAGCCAAAGACATTTTGGTTGTTTGGTTTCTTTCAGCTTATTTTAGCTGACAATTGAGGGAAGGGAAGAAAAAAAAGAAAAAAGGATCCATTATGTTTGGCAAGTGCTAAGAAAGCCACATTTTTTTCCTGAATTTTATTTCTAGTCTAGAAGGGTCTAAAAATATATATTTTTATAAAAATCTCAAAGGGTACACAATAGGCAGAAAAAAAATCCAAACCCCACTTAAACCTTCCCAATAACAAAAAAATTATATATTTTAGAATTTGCCAAACCAACCCCTCAGATTGAATTTGACTAGCTCCGCTATCTATGATCATGTGCATGCAAGTGCAGTGCAGGTGTGTGCAGAGAGATAGAGAGAAGGGGAAACAATAATTTTTTTACCAGTGGCGTTGACGGAGGGAGTGAAGGCCAAGCTTATCAGTAATCTCAGCAGCATTCATTGCATTTGGAAGATCTTGCTTGTTTGCAAATACCAGCAGCACAGCATCCCTCAATTCATCCTGCAAAGGCCAACAACTTCTAATTACCAAAGGCAGGGAATATGCATTTCTAAATGTGTGACATTACTACAGTACAGTATTTATCCCAAAAAAAAAAAAGAACCATTATTACAGTACAGTAACAATATTTTTAAAAGGGCATTGTTCTCATATGCACTGAACTGATGAAATAAGTAATTCTCTCCTACCTCATTTAGCATTCTGTGCAATTCATCTCTTGCTTCAACCACACGATCTCGGTCATTGCTATCAACCACAAAGATAAGTCCCTGTGTGTTTTGGAAGTAATGTCTCCACAAAGGTCGGATCTGGGAAACAATAAGTATAGATGGTCATTTACTCGATTGATTGTGCAACACACAGCTATAGCTATTAACTTTAAATCAATTCAAAGCATCTAGAAGATGCTCCAACTATGACCAAATGAGGCCATTTACTACAAAAAAAATGCAGAAGTCAACAATGAGCACTAAACTGTCCATAAGCATGAACCTCATTTACAGCATCATGTTTAGATCATCACTAGTTAAATAGCTCTGGTGTGTTATACAACATGATTGCAGACTAGAGTTATCAACTCAAAATGTTGGCCACCAAAGAGCCTTTCCTCTTTCCATAGATGACCAAGGATAACTATAAAATATTTAGCTATATATTGTAAATTTTATGCTTATTGTATGGAATTACATCAAAGCATCATTAGAACGTCCATCAAAATTCCAGTTTTGAAAAAACATAACCACATGATGACGCAATTGCACGCACTCATTTCCAATAATAAGAACACATGTAAATATTGTAAAAATTCCTAAGAAAGCCTACCAAATATAGTTAGATCAATTTAATTCCACCATAGTACATTTAAAAAAGAAAAAGATCATGGGATCAAACCCACAAGACCGATAAAGCTAAGGTAGCTCAAGTCATCTGATGTACTGGCTCAACTGAGTTGAGACTTATCGAGATCCTCCACCAAGAAATGTTACCATAGTGATTTCTATGAACACGTCATAATAAAGTTGGTGAATAATTGGTCATTTTCTTTTCTTTATTTGGCAGTCTGGTTTTCCCTGGATCAAAATTTAATCTTTTGAGTAAAGGTGGATTCAATCAATATAATGAAGGAGGGAGGAGGGTAAAGAAAATTTGTCACTAGAAAACAACGCATCATAGTTCTTTTCCACAACAAACTCATCTTGCATATGTCTCAATGTTTAAACAATGTACTTCATCAATACATTTAATCTGTTTAAGGTGATGTTGGTTCTTTAGTATGCATTTGATGGAGCTATATTTTAATATCACAAAAAACTACTCAGTATATTTTATCATTTCATTGCAAAAATATAATGAAAACCTAACCCCTAGTGCAAATTAACATCCAAATGACAGATAACCACAACATCAATATTCATTGTGAAAAGTCAACATCTCAGAAAAATGAAGATTACATACCTTGTCCTGGCCACCAACATCCCAAACAGTAAAGCTAATGTTCTTGTACTCCACAGTCTCCACGTTAAATCCTGACCAAATAATAAATCCGAGTGCAGTCCCATCACATGAATGGAAAAACTAAGATAAAATATCTCACTCAACACTACAGTTGGCAATGGCAACCTTTTGGATGATGCCATAATCAACTCACTGCAAATAATGCATCTTTGCCAATGTGAAAGTGTTATGGTTTAGGCCAACACAATTCAGTAAAACAGAAAAAACTATTCTATCTCTACTAAACCAATTCCATTTCCTAAAAAATGGTGCCAAAGTTTGTATTACTACAATCTATAAGTATAATAAAATTCTACTGAAAATCTGAGTGAAACCATGAGTTAATCTGATCAAGATCTCAATTCCTACAATAAGATCAACATAAGAGAATCTGGATCACTAACATCTATTTTGAAAAAGGAAAGAGAGAAAAAAAAAGAAGAAAGTGGCAACAGACAAATATTACCTTGTTGCTACAAAAACCTATGACAAATGTCAAATAGCAATCAATAAATTTGATCTTCATTAAACTTACCAATGGTAGGAATTGTGGTGACTATCTCTCCCAGCTTAAGCTTGTAAAGAATGGTAGTCTTACCAGCTGCATCAAGACCCACCATCAATATGCGCATCTCTTTCTTTGCAAACAGCCGACTGAAAAGCTTGGTGAAAGATAGCCCCATTTTTGTGTCTGAAAAACCCAACAAAACAAAATCAATCCATAAATCCTATCAACCAAAATATTGAACATAAATTGCCATAGTTACAAGTTTTCAACCAGAAAACACCCAGCAGTGTTCGAGCAATGCAAATTGTGTCTTTCAGAGAATAAACCGAGACTCATATAGAACCCGCCGAAACTCTTTAGCACTTGGATTTTAGACAATGTAATTGAATTAGATTCTTTCAAATATGATAGAAAATAAAATGGAACACAATTATGAAAGAAACAAAAATCAAGAAACAGATGCTACACTGTATTAAGTTGAATTCCCGTAGGATTGGTAAAACAAAAAAGATTGACATGCAACTTTGACAAATGATCTGATTCCAACCCCAAACAAAGCATCTAAACCAAATGATATTTACATACAACTTTAAACAAAAAAGAAAGCAAAAACAATAAATTTAAAGGAAGAAAAAAACGATCTGAAACCTAAGTGTGATCCACATAGAAGAGAAGAGAAAAGAAAAAGATAATAATTCCTCTCCTATCTTGTTTGGTTAAACTACTACAACAACAACAACAACAAAAAAAGAGTTTCATATTATATTATCAAAACAACTTTTTATAGAAGAAGAAAAAAAATGTAATTAGTTCATTTCTTTTCTCTCCCAATCTGGTGGATTGATAGAGGGATTATAAGAGAAATGGGTTCATCTCCATTTCTTCTTCCCGTTTCTCTCTTTGCTTATTCAAACAAATGATATGAACAAGGAAAAATCTTCTCTTTTTTTTTCTTTGCTTTTCTTAACAAATCATCCAATCCAAATGGGCTGCAAGATACACACTAATCAGGAACAAGAACTACCTGTCCCACAATCTTTATCAAATTAAAGAGAACAATCATCATTAGATTACAAACTTTCAACGAACTCACATAGCTGATCGAAATGCTATGAGGCCACTTGTTGGATCACAATGAATGAGATCCCAAAATATAAATGTCACTGAATAAGATCAAATCATAGATAAAGGTAAATCAAGATCCAAATCTACAAATGCGACCATGAATCTATCCGATCCTATCAATATACAGATCAACATATCTAAAGAAATAATCATAAAATTTTGTCAAACTTGGCAATCTTTTAACCACAAGAAGAAAACAAATAACAAGTTTATGGTAGAAAATTTCCAACGATCAGATCTAATGTGTAAACAAAAAAAAAAAAAAAAAAAAAACTGTACAGTAATGTAATCATTGAAGTCGAAACACACAGATCGGAATGAAGCGAGAGAGAGAGAGAGAGAGAGAGAGAGATGCATATTTACCTGAGGAAGGAAGCGAATTGAGAGACAAGAGCGAAACAGATCTCGTCTCTCTCTCTCTCTACGTTCTATCCTCTCTCTCTCTCTCTCTCTCTCTCTCTAAATCAGAAGAGGCCCCAGACTCTCAGAATGGACCAGCACTCCGGTCCACAACCAACAATAGCACAAAAAATGAGGATGGCGCATTGGCGCTACATCTTATATATAGACACCAGTTTTATTTTATTTTTTAAAAAATTACACACGAAAGAAAAAAGTTTCAGCCCCCACAAAGCTGGACTTTACGATTTCTATTGATATGTTGGTTATTGATATGTTTAAATTTTTTTAAAAATTATATGAATAATTTAGACAAAAATATTTGAGACCTCTTATTCCTTTCATACCTTTTGACTCTCTGTCTCTTTTATTGGTCAGTTTTTCTCTTTTATTTATTTATTTTTCTCTTTTGACTCTCTGGCGATGGTAAGGTGGTGATTAGAGGAGGTCTCTATCAATACTCTAATTTAAATTATTTTAAAAGTTGTGGGGGGTTGTATTTTATATGGGTGTCTGTCATTATTACACAAAAAAATTGTAAGATTTGACTTGGGTAATAAAATAATTTTTTTATTTTACTAATTTAAATTTTAATACTTTGATTTAGGCCAATTTTAAAAAGTGATTTTTTTTTAATTTATTAGTTTTTATACAAAAAAAAATATACAAAAAAAGGAAAAAGAAATAAGTTAATAAGTCGATAAGATTATTTGTTTTTTGCCTTCTCAAAGAGACATTTAGTTCCAATTTATTTATTTATTTTTGTTAAGTAAAATTGAATATATATATATATATATATATTTCTCCTTTTTTTTATACACAATTTTAAACAAAATTATAATAATCTAACCATTACTTATACAAAATATTACCAACAAAAAATCTAAATTTTGATTTTTATAACAAAATAAATTCTTAATTTTTAATTTTATCAATTTAAATTATAATATTTTGATTTATTTTTAATTTAAACTATTCACCTATTTTAGTTAATCAATTTTTTTTAAATGGTATTTTAGTTATCAGACTCAATATAAATGTATATAAAATGTTTAAAATGTCATTTTTCATTTAATTTAATAACTGGATATAATTTTCTTTTGTTAATTTTATTTAATGAAAATAGATAAATATTTAAATTAAAAATAAATCAAAATATTATAATTTAAATTGATAAAATTTAAAACTCATTATTTATTTTATTACTAGTGTATGTCCGTGCCTGAGGGTACGGTTAAAATATTGTTTGAATGAAAATGTAATTGAACGTAAAATTATAGGTAAATGAAAAAGTGAAAAATAAACACATAAATGCTACGTAAAATTCAAGCACAACAAGAGTATAAAATTTTAAACAAACAACAAAATGTAAGTCCCACAACAAATAAACATATAATAAAAATCAAACGAAATACGTCAGTCAGTGCTCTACAATAGAAAAAAAATAACAACAAATTAAGCATACCAGCCAATCCTCTACAATAAAAAGAAAATGCCAAATAACAAATGAAGCACACCCGCCAATGTTCTGTAATACAAAAAGAATGCAAAACAAACATCAACCAACATTCTACAATAAAAAAAAATGACAAATAATAAATTAAGCACAACAATCAGTGCTTCACAATAGAAAAAAATGACAAATAAATAAAGCATACCTAATGTGTTACATTTACAAAAACAAACTCATAGCATAAGCCAATAATAATTCAAATGAATATTATCTAACATACATCTAAACTTAGTTATAAATTTCACATAGATAAAAAGTTTTACAAAACTATTGTAAGCAATAAAATTCACATTGATAGGAAATTTTACAAAAAAACATTTCACAAATTTACATGGCATTGTGCAAGTAGTATGTCAAATTTACAGTATATGGCACTGTGCAAGTAGTATGTCAAAAAACAAAAAAGGATCAAGGTTCATGCTCCAAAATAAATATTTCAAAAAAAGAACTTAAAATGAAAATGTTGAAGAGCCATAGTACATGTATTTTCCTTTCCCTTGCCCGAAACGGTGGCAATTTCCTTTTCTTTTGCTTACAAAAAGTAAAAAAATATATATATTTAGAAAGTTTAAAAAATAATGTAAATAAGAATATACTATGTTTTGAAAAGAAAAAAAAAAACCTATATAATTAAATTAGGCCTACCTCTCGAACCTTGGATGACATTAAGGTCATGTTCATCACGGATGACAACATTAGCATGTCTTTCTTGAAGAAATTGAACCTATAAATACAAAAGAATTAGAGGTAAAAAAAATTAAAAAATTTATACATCTAAGAAAATGAGAAAAATGAGTCGGTATTACAGTACAGCGTAGGTTTCCATCCATATGTAAATTATAAGAAAATAGCATTTTGTTATAAGGAAATTAGATTAAAAAAATAATGAAAATAAAAGAACATTAACTTCAACTTATAAGAAAGGTGTATTTTTTTTTCAAATAAATATAAAAGAAAACAATCTACGTGACTGAAAATAATAATGTTGTCCATAATTAGAGGTTGAAGGTCAATGGCATCTCAACTTGAAAGTGTTTGGTTATGTAAATTTGACAAAGATGACTGTAAGGCAGAATGAGGTTTAATAATTACCATAAAGAAAAATTAATCAACACAAAATTAATAACCTCCTAACATATTTTAGTTAACAACCCACTTTAAGAAATTCGTTTATGCATGAATATCACAGATGGAGAAATTGAACTATCTAGAGGCACAGCGTAAATTATGTTAGAATCAAAATGTAGCTGTAAGTTATACACATCATGTTAAAATTTGTAGAGTCTATAGCATTTTTTGATTTTTGATAGACACCGAAAAAATATAAAGAAATATTATTCTTCTTAAAGAACTTTTAACAAATTTAGTTGCAAATCGGATTATAAAATATACAAATTAATTTCAAAGAGAGGGTTACAATCAAGATGTGAAGAGCAAGTACATGAACAGAGAGATAAGATTTTTACGTTGGTGTTAAATGATTTTCGTAATGAGAGAAGAAGTGAAAAAAGTGAAGAATAAGAGGTATGTATAGTACAGAATGAAAGGTATGCTCGTGCCTAATAATGGCATGATGTAAATAATATTGAGATCAAAATGTAGTTGAATAGAAATGTAATTTATCGAAAAACATACCAAAAACTTAAAACATTGAGAAATATAAAGAAATATTGTTTTTAAAACATTTCCAACAATTTTGTTGGTACCACACACTCTATAGAACTGAATTAAATATAACAACCCCTAGGCACGGGTATATATATTTGTTGTTTAATCTTAAATATTTTGTTTTCATTTGTTCTTTCGTTACCAAATAATATTATCCAAAGCTATTGTATATCTATCAATGCTTTGCAATAAATAAATAAAAAATGTACTAAACACAAAATGAAGCACACCAGTCAGTGATATGCAATCTCGAAAAATAGAATTCAAAATTAAACAATAAATACTACACCAGACAGTGTTTTTCAATTTCAAAAAATTAAAATTAAAATTAAATACCAAATAATACACACCAGCCAGTGCTCTGCAATTTAAAAAAATGAAAATTAAAAATAAACAACAAACAATGCACATCATCCAGTGCTTTGCAATACCAAAAAATTACTAAACACCAAATGAAGCACACCAGCCAGTGCTATGCAATCCCGAAAAATAGAATTCAAAATTAAATAGCAAACAATGCACATCAGCCAATGCTCAATAATCTAAAAAAAATAAATAAAATAAAAATTAAAGTGAAACCATATAGAAGAAGAGATTCAAGACTTTCCGAACTTGAATATGAGGTTGAAATTGTCTTAAGCACCTGTCACTTGGAGAAAATATAAAATTTTATTAGAAGAAACTTCTAGAGGGAAAAAGCAATGTATTTAAAAAATATCTATAAAAATACACCTATTTTTCAAAAAAAATATTTTTAATACAGAAGTGAATGTCTCTATTTAATTAGATAAACCCTAAACAGAACTGGAATAACAATTTTGTCTCAATATCTTACCATATTGTGACTAAATGTATTGGAAGACAAATTTTATGGTAAGATGTTTTATGTAAATTTTCATAATATCTCTATTTAATCAGATGTCTTATGTAAATTTTATGTAGATTAGGGTTCAAGCACATGATTAGGGTTCATCCTAGAGCACATGAAATAAACAAAATGGGTTCAAGCACTGATTCTCTAGGGTAGTTAACAATCAACAGGTAAGAACCTGAAATGTCCGAGAATATCAATTTAAATTTAGATAGGAATTTGAAAAGAAAAAAGAAAAGATGAGGGAAATATAAAGTAATTATGATTCAAACACAACCTTACATACCTAAGCAAAAGTATATTTGTTGATGAAATGGTACCAATCCAATCTTAGATTAATACGCTCTTTTCAAATGCATGCTCTTTTCAACTATCAATTAGTAACCACATAAATATGGCATCCCAATTCACAAATGTAAGTGCCAAAAAGTATGAAAAATCATTTCTATGAACATATAAAGAAACAAACCAAGTTGAAGGTAGTAAATAGCAATTAAGCACAATGACTGTTTCAACCTTCCATAATGAGTGACAATTTTTGAACATGAAAGATCCATTCATAGAAAAAGACTTATCTCATCTCAGAGCAGAAAAACAAATAGAAGTCACCCATTCATAGAAACACATTTCATTGAAAAAGATTTGTCTCATCTCATAGTAACTTATTTCATAAATCAAACAATTTTTTTCAACCCATTTCATATTCATATAACTGAAATCAAAACCATAAAGAAACACAAGCATTTATGCCCAACTCAAGGAAAAAAAATTCAATCAACACTACATAAACAAACCTGCTTAAATGGTAGCTAAAATGACATATGACAAATAATAGGGAACTAATAATTAGACTAAGCAACCATATGACAAAATAAATGTTCAATAAGAAATGAGTATATATGTTTTTATCATTTATCATTTTCAATAACTTAGAAATGACAATATTAAATTTAAAAAAAAATTTGTAAACTTAGAAACTTAATTCCCAATGGAAGCCAAGCATCCAATGAAAAAAATAGGATACCTTTAATGGGTTAACATGGTGCACTGAAATGCTACGAACAACAGTTGGAAAAAAAAA